GGGGGGCATGGCACGCCATAAACCTGGTGTGACCTTCCAACCAGTGCAGATGACGGCAAAACAGGCCGAGCTGAACACGTGCTAGCTGCACATAAGTTTAAGATCTTTCTTGGTACCACTTCGTGGATTCCCATAAGTATGCTTTGCAAATTGCTCACCTCACCTGCTGGCTATCTTTCGGACAGGATTCCCTACTAAGGCCTGAACAAATCAACTCTCAGTGGTTTGTTGCCTGTGGAACTTGTGCCACTTGCACACCTTGCGCTGGTACGTGCCTCGGATTGTGCAAATTCTTTTGGTGTGGAGTCTACAGAAAGCTCGATCACAAATATCTGCCCGACATGTAAAGCCTCGTGACTGCAAAGGATACGGCTCAACTGAGGGTGAGGAGAACTTCCATGATGTGATCTGGGTGTGTATTGAAATAGAGGACCCCCAAGATCCGCAGCCACAGGACTGCAAGAATGTGTGCAATCTTAAGCTACAAATGCGAATCCGCAGCTTTACCACAAAAAGCACACTTCTTGTCACAGCTGGGATCCAAGCCAAACCTCGCAGCGGGACTGGTACAGGAGTTCTAAGGTTTGAGTCCAACCATACTTAAGCCGCCCCCTCTAGGCTGGAGAACCACTATAAATGCTCCGTGCACATGCAACTTGAAATAAGCAACGTCTCAAATGAATTTGACCTGCCTGTAAGCATTTCCGACCATTTCTTTTTCATGTTTCCCATGCCTGATAATTAAGGCCAAACATGTCACATTCCAGTGAGTCGCTACCGCTGCTCTTACTGTCGCCGTTTGGGGCGGATTGTAAAAGTGGATACTATTCTTCAAGCCCTAGACGACTCCAATGCCTGGTTTGGAGCAGGTGCTACGTCGAAGGGTATCATGGCGGCAGGTAGTGCGGATGCAATCCTTGTTTGAACGGCCTTCGAACACACTATCCAAGCGTCTGATCACCCGCTATAGATTGCACACTAGAAAGCAATTAGTGTCGTACAAACATCTGCGTGCGCTGCTGAAGGTTGTCAGCTCATGTCGCCAGAACTCAGCAGAATGCCACTCATCCACCCTGGACTTCTTCTCCTTGTCAATCAAACCCTTCAAACAGCATGATATGAATTTTGCCTCCCACCAGTTTGATCCGGAAAGCAAATCCATCACAGGCACCCAGGCACCCTCAATCTGTTGTCTGGTCAATTCCAAGAAACCAAGCGCCAAAAGTCACATCAACGGGATGCACCAAACAAAGCTGGTGCCACGAAGCCACCACATTCTGGAAAAAACGACATCAATCACCTGACACCTGGGCCACATCCACCATCTTGAGCTGCTAGCTGGTCTGTTCACGAAACTGGGCTATCCCACCCACGTCTTGTGGGCCATTGGGTGAAACAAAGCTGTTAAAACATATATACTGACAAACACAAATTGAGAGATCACCTTGGAGTTGGATGGCTTAGTTGCAATCCAGCGAAGAACGTCCAGTATGTTTGTCCAGCTTTGAGTGGACAAAAACGAACCTCCAACATGTCGAGCATTTCCAGCCCCCTTTAGTTCATGCCCTGCCGGTGCATACAAAACAGAATGCAAGTGTAGGGCCTCATTGGAGGATATGGAACCAGAACTTGGGTTCATCAGTATGTCTGGACACTCACCACTCTCCAACTGCAAACGGCAGTTCCTGGTCACGCGACACTCTCAGCAACAAGCGGGTGCATCTTTCTTCTGTTTGGTTTGCTTCAGGTGGTGTCAAGAGTGCCCAAGCTCAGAGAAGCTGGATAGCCACTGGATAGCGCTTTTGAACGGACATGTTAAACAAATAAACACATGACGTCCTGCCTCGGTCATTGGGCCAGAATCTTCCAGGTTTCAGCTCCTGACTGGTGTGGGATGCTTCAAATTGGCCCAGGTCGACCTTTTTAGCTAGGGAGTACGTATGTGAAGACCTTCGCACTGACCAATGATGGTCTTTTTCCAAGTTTCGGTGCAAACCATCAGGTGTTTTCAAGCCAAAGACCAAGCCGTTTGACCAAGCGAAAGTCTCCACAAAGCCCGACGACTCGGCCTTGGCTGCGCAATCTCATCTCGCTCTTGGATCGCCTGCGGTGCTAAAAAACCCGGAGGAAAGTGACCTCCCCCAACCCTTCAATCAGTGAAGAGCCCCAGGTTGAACAACTCAGGTGCACATTTCGCATGACATCACGAGCATCTTTGAATGTTTGGGCCGCGCCCATGGCATCGTGTCTGACAACGTGACGGCCGAGGTCGGCCACTCAGCTGGACCTCTCTGACGGCTTGCATCCGTCCCGCAAAGGACATACGCAGCTGGCGGGTGAAGGAGTCAGCACCTCAGTAGGCAGGGCTGGGCAGGACTATCCATGTTCCAATTTGGTGAGAAAAAATAGCAGGCATAAACACCTGGAACCTCCGGGTTCAAACATGTTCCAACGCCTCTGTTCCGACACTTCCGACCCACCAATCTAGGGCCACCCCACGTCGCACCGTGACCCCATCAGTGTTGAGGATCGCAACGGACACGGTCAAAAGGCCCTCACAGAATGCCGGAGGCTTTTGGACATGCGAAGCCCAAGCCGGTTTAAACCGGTGTAAGCCAACCTCGTCCGATTTACCTGTTGTTTGTCTCGAATCACCAACATCTGCCTTCGAGCTGGAACATGAGATCTGCATGAAATCTCCCCACATTTCATCTGTTCCTCCATGTGGGGACCAAACTCGTGGCTCTTTTCCAATACAATCCGGCTGGCCTTCGAAGCGTGGTTATGACCTTAGAGATTCACCAGGACGTAGCCGGTGCTTTCGGACAGCTTTCACAGCGAAAAAAACAGCAGTGAATGGGACAGCAGTTCAAGATGCTCGATGCCTCATCTGGCAAAATCATCTTTATTGCAAATCTGGGCAAGGTGGAAAGGGCCCCCTGACGGCCGAGGAAGCGCATATTGTTGGTGTCTTCTAATTGGAGCTCTTCCTGCAGTTGTAGGGATCGGTGCGCTGGAGACGTGGAAGCCACGCCACGCAACATTAAACACCATATCTCGTATTTGTGCAACAATCACTTGGCTGGGACACGCCTCGAACAAGCCATTCTCCACAATGCGACTGCCTTTCGGGATCTTGCAGAACTCAAGCAACTTCTGAAAAACAGGAGAAGGGACGAAAACACAAATCATGGTGATGCAAGCAATCTCTTGTCCTGCCACTTCGCCAAACTGAAGGGGCACCAACATGCCCAGCCATGTTTCTTGAAGCGCAAAAGATGCTGGCCGGATTCATATCGGTTCATTCCCAAGCGTGCCTTTCACAAGCGCGGTTCCCAGGCATTCATTCTTGTCAAAGTCATAATCATAGACTTGGAAGGAGACATCGTCGCCTTTGGCCATCAAAACCGTTCAACCCTTCGTCAGCCCTGGACTTAGCAAAGAAGAACCTTGTGCTCACGTGCTTCAGCAACAACCTATCCCAACCAAGCTTTTTGGTTAATGACTTGTAGCCTCGGAGCAACGCTGCGTCAAACTAAGCCAATGGCTTTCAGTGAAGTTTCTTAGCATAAATGTCTCATCCCACTCCGGATTCCTCAGATGCTCATCCGATGGTCCGTGTCAGAAAGGAAGGATATTTTTTCCGGTAATTTTTTTCCAGATTTTTTTCCGGGAATTCTTTTCACGTTTTTCCCCCTACTGTTTTTGCTTTTGCTTCTGCTGGGAGTGCTTTACAAGCACTAGGAGCAGCAGAAAGGGCAGGGGACGAAGCACCAAAGCCAGCGTGACAATGACAAAGGGAGGGAACAGAAAAGGTATTCCACTTACTAGGGACTTCTTTGCGGTTGTCTTTAGCTTCACTGGTTTCAGGTTTCTTTGGGCTCGGTTTCTTGTCTTTAGGGTTTCTTTAGGCGTTCTTCCGGAAAAGGCATCCCACTTAACGAAGGAGAAGTAGGAGGAGAGAGGAACTATAATAGGGACTTTTCTGCGGTTGTCTTTGGGTTTCAGTGGTTTCGGGTTTCTTTGGGCTAAGCAAAGTAGAAATCCACCTTTGTGGCAGCGTCAACGCAAAGAAAATAGTAGTTGTGGTAACTGTGGTAAGACTCGAAGCGGGGTGGTCCGAGTGATAGAGGTGTTGGAAATAGTAGGGGTGGTGGACGGTAGTGGCAACTATAAAAAAAGGCGGGAGAGGGTGCGGGGGAGGGCGCAGCGCCTCCCCCGCAATGCAAATCAAAATATAGACAGCGCTGGGCTGCTTCGTTTCTTGATTGGTGTAATTGGGTGTCAAAGCTCAAGGTGAAGGTCTTATCATCTAACTTTGTGGCAGTGTCAATGCAAAGAACATAGTCAGCAGAAGCAAAAGCAGAAGCATATTCCCGAACCGCTTCACCCCTCTCGCTAGTGCTCAAGGTCTTCGTTGGTATGGGGAACGCGGCGC